TGTAGTAATTTTCCAGAGTCAATAGCGTCACTCATGTGCTATTAGTCAGGAAACAGTATTACCACCAAGATGAAAACTGAATACTTCGAGTGTGTATCATCGGCATCCATATTTTTTATAGTTGACATTAGCAATCTGTGGGAGCCACCAACAATTATTCCCAATAGAATCATGCATAGTCTCAAATAAAGAAAATGATGGAGTCGCACAATACAAAAAAATACCAATTGTTGCAACTTATAATTCAGGGAAACGTAGATATAGGTGAAACGTAGACTTGGTAGAAGGAAACTGTCATGGATGCGGAATATCAGGAATTGGACAGGTTTAAACTTTGAGACCATATTAGAGCTGTGACGGATCGAGAGACCTCCGCAAAGGTCTCTCGATCACTAACCTTCGATAGCAGAGATCGCACAAGCCATCCGTTCTGGGTATTATTATAATAATACTACATATTCACAAAGCAAGTATATATACTTGCTCTGTTTTTCTTCACTCAACAAAATAATCTTCTTGTGAATACACAAGAATATGATAAGCTTGAGTCAAGAGTTCAAGAATACTAATATATTTCTTTCAGTGTACAGTTTTAACTACGTCATTCATTTTACTAACATCTCCGCTACGTATGGGTGTGTGTAGCACTTAAAATTTTTCCGCCATCATTCCAAAGGCACATTCGCTGGTTTTTGTTCCCCTGCTTAACCTATAGTTAAATATCCTATTGACGTTGTCGAGAACTCTTTTTGAGTAAGGTCTCAATAAATGCCTTGATAATGGGAATGCCTCGTCTGCTACAAAATAATAACGAAAAAGACTGTCACTATTATCGAAACAAAGCTTTGAGTGCGGTGGAATATCAAGTTGAGATTGTGATAAAAAATATGTCATTGTTGAAGAACGATAAATGTCTCCGTCACTATTTCTCTCAGCATATTCAGTTTCGACCATTCTGTGAAGACCATCCGCATCGTAACAGGCCAATAAGACTGTATAGTTGTATGATTTGTATTTAAAATTCGTAGATCCAGTATTTGGAATTTTTTCGATTCGTATGTGCTTGCGTTCCATATTAATTCGAACCGTTATTATTATTAAAGCTATTATTTATAAAGATATTATTTACACGAAGCCCTGCAGTTTGTTTTGCCATTTACGAAGGCTAAAAACTCTATTAGGCGTAATTTATGGAAAAATTCTAAAAGAAACCAGGAAATTGTTCCGGAAATTGAAGCTATTGAACGTCCCAAATCTGAAGGCGATGAGTTCTTGTCTCCCTTTTTATCACCACTATTACCACCAACTCCAACATCCCTTGTATCTACATCTTCAGCACCACAACATTCTCTGTCGGAAGTCAGCAAGCAGCCTGACAATCCTAAACCAGAACTGCCCGAAATTTTTCCGACTGCTAGAAAACAAGGTAGTAAAAAAAGAAAATCCTGTACTTCTGAAAATGATGTCCATAAAGTAGCCGCAGAATATTACGTTGTGAAAAAAATCACTTGGAGAGACGGAATGAAAGAGGTACTTTTAGGCTTTTTCAGCAGCATTGTCCCCGACACCTTGCACACTGACTGATGCTCAAATAAGATTGTTCAAGTGAAGAACTCCTTTTAATTGATGAGATAATAAGTTATAATACCGTGTTAGATAATGCTTGCGGCCTTAGTTACTCTTCTTTCCTCAAAGATTGCCATCCGAAGCAGCGTCCCTAACTAGTAGCTTCCTTTCAACATACCCTCTCGTCCAAGTAATGAATATAATTTTCCGTTAACTACTGAACCTCAACTAGAAACGAACCCTTTTCAGTACCGTCAGTTATAATCCTAGTCGAGATGTACATATTATATCTATATTTTGAAAGTTTTTTATATAAATATTTATATTGTATAACAAAGGTTGTTTTGATAACATAAATAAATAAGGGTGTTTTGAGTAAATAGCATGTTATTTACCTTAATATACTTACCTTAACCCTAGGATACTTAGGCCCACTTTTACCACCTCTAGTTAAAGTGGTTGTTAACTTTAACTAATGGTTAGCGCAAAAATCGGCTTTTACCACCATATTTACCTTGTTGATAGCGCTAACTAATAGTTATTTTCGGTCTATCTGTAACTATCGGTTTGGGGGTCGGGTTAAATATTTACCTCATTGATAAACTTGGTTGAAGGTATTTTTAACCAGATGGCGTAACATAAATCTAACCTAAAATCATAATAAACGCTTACGTTCGCTCAAAACTCCATAATAGTGATTAAAACGGTGTTATTGTCGTGTTATAACAGTGTTACACAGCGATAGAATAAAAAATCATGGATTTCGAAAGGTTTGAAATTGATGAGCAAGAAATCTTGGAGAAAATTAATTATCTATTTCCCATTCGGGGTGGACG